TTCTTAAACTTTATGTCTTATTGCCAAATAAGCATAGTTTTAAAGTAAACCAAAATTACCTCAGCAATTATAACATTAGCTCATATGCTACATCAAATATATTTATAATTAAAAAATAAGAATAAATTTACAATGTTGAAAAGAGGACGAAGAGCATAATAGTTACTTCTGATACACTTAAAATTTGAACATTATTAATTTAAGGGAATTATTTAAGAATACAAAAAGTTTGAGGATTGAGCTACTTTTTAGCATTATAATGAAAAGTCAGTTGGAACCTTTTTCTAATGTATTTATTGTTACCGTAAATAATGTCCTGTATTATTTTGCATGCTAGAAAAATGTCTGCTATTATTTGATAAAAATCAAAGAATTATTACAAAAATATGTTATATAACATTAAATATATAGTCTACTTATGAGTAAATCGTAATTTTAAAGGTTTACTTTTGAAATTTATATATTTGCACTGTTGATTACCAGAATGAGGACTGACTACATTATGTAGACACCAATTACTTGTTTTTAAATAAATATTTTTACATTTTTTTTCTGTTAATCTTTTTCAGTGTATGTAATACTTGGATATTATCTATCTAATTAATGCAAAAATATTGACAGGGTACCCGCATGTCCACTGAGATTTCTAGTATATCAGTTTTGGATAAACCTTATCTCATTAAATGAAAGTGATTTGAATTAAGTGTGAGAATTTGCAAATTGTGAAGCTTTGAGCAATAATGACATGTTCAGGTCTGACCCTTGGATTTTTCTGATTCTGGAAAAAATCAGAGGCTATGAAACTGAGATACTCAACATTTAATTTGATATTTTCTATAAAATTAATATTTTTGATCTACTGAAGCTTGTGAATTTATCTGTTTTTCATTTGAGAAAATATTTATTATTTAATTATGATTTTTTAAAAAAAAAATTCCTACTAAGGACAAAGCACTGTTGGGCTTTTCCTTAATCTTTGAGTGTTCTTTATAGAGAAGGTTAGTTCTTGTTTTGAGTATATTGAAAAATATGCTATGATTAAAATCATAAAGCTGTACACATCACTATATCCCTTTTTTAATATTTATTTTTTAGTTGTAGTTGGACACAATACCTTTATTTATTTATCTTTATGTGGTGCTGAGGATTGAACTCAGGGCTTCACATGTGCTAGGCGAACACTCTACCATTGAGCCACAAACTCAGCCCATACATCACTATATCTTTTGAAGTAAACAAGAAGCATCTACTTATTTTATAAAATAAATCGTAATTATGATAGCATTATGAAGTAGGTGGACTACATTTTGAGTCCTGTTATACGTATATGTGTATGGCTTGCATATGTATATGTGTGTAACTATGTCTGTATACATAGATACTTAAATTTTCATATAATTTAAAAAATTGATATAGTAAAAGTCAGCATGTATACTTTAAAAATTTAAAATTGCAATATGAAAGAGGATATTCTTTCAAAATATTGTAAATGCAGCATTTATCCTGTAATTTGAGACAAATTTGGCAGTCAACTAATTTACCTGGGTTTCTGTCTATTGGAACAGTAGCCACATGCAGTCAGTCCCTTGCCTGCTTGTCTGGTCCTGAGTTCATCTGTATGATTTCCAAGAAAGTTTGATTGCACAGGCTTGGGTGGTCAGGTTCTCTTCATGGAAGAGTTGGGTGCACACATTAAAAGAAGAAAGAATCTGTGCAACAGAGGAGAGTGGGGTGGCTTGATGAGAACCCCATCCTAGGGAAAGCATCTGGAGTCACAGGACAAGCAGGAAGCAGTAGATAAGACTAGAGTGGCGGGAACATATTACAACATTGTGAAAAACGTCCTCAGCTAAGTGAGCAGGGATATTACAGGATCCATCTTGCTGCTCACAGCCCAGATGGAAGATAAGATATATAGTCAAGGAAGGAGACTTTATTTGAAAAGCTAGTTGGTTAAGAAGATAGAAGTTTCTTATCCAAAGTCCATCTTTCTGGGAAACTAATTCAGGAGTGGTTTATTTCAACAATTCGTGGGTATTGCCAGAATGGTAGGCACCTTTTCACAGCTGGTGTGCCATATGATGCATACCTACCTGATCCTAGTAGTTCCCAGTTGGTTTCCAGTTCTGCAAATTTCAAGAACAATGATTAATATTTCCATCAATGCTGAGCTTCAGGCATAGAAGAAATCTACATATTTTGACTCGATTCAGTGGCAAGACACCAAAGCCTTTTGAGCTAAATGTGGCATGATGAAAAAAATAGTAAAGTAAGAGCCAGCAGGGTGAGAAGAGGGCAGTGATGTGACTTGAGTAACCCAGGAGGGGAAGGAAGGAAGAGGTGGTAGGCCCAGGGCATACACCTGTGCATGTCAGGAGCATTACCTGGATGACTTTGGTGTCTGAACTAGTTGTCTCTTGTGCTCTGTGGGAGGAATTTGTTGTGCTGATTTTAAAGTAAGTCCAGGCAGGTGCAGTGTAATTCCAGTGTAATGCCTATAATTCCAGCTTCTTAGGAGGCTGGGGCTGGAGGATTGTGAGTTCAAAGCCAGCCATATCAATTTAGTGAGACCCTGTCTCAAAACAAAACAAAACAAAACAAAAAAAAAAAAAAGACTTTGGATTTTTAAACTATGTAAATACCACTGGATTGAATCCCCTGTAATACACACACAAAAAAACAACAACAACAACAACAACCACAAACAAATACAATAAAGTGTAATGTTTAGTACATAGGCTACATGTGGCTACTTTGGTTTTCTTCATCTAGAGTTATTGCTTAAATGGTAATAAACGTAGTGGAAATGTGGGATCTTTTAAAGTGCAGTGCAAGGTTCACTTAGCTAATCACGGATACTGGTCTTACAGGGAAACAAATTGTGGTTGGGTGGAGGGGTTGTTAACATGTATAATCTGAATTTTTTTTAACAATTTTTTCTACCAGTTTATTATAATTTCTTACTTGTTTATTTTTGTAGCTATTAAGGAGGGTTCAGAGTATAATTATGAAATAAATAACTTTTATTTTCCCTCTGCCCATTAGTACTTAAACTGACATGCATTATGAGGTTGTGCTGCTTTGCATAGAATGTGAACGTGAATCAAATATGCAAAAGGAAGAAGAAAAGTACAAAAATTATAATGTCTGATATAATTCCATTCTAAACCAAATGTAACCTGGGAGTTTGAAAGACCCACAACTCTACAACATCATTTGATAGTGAATTTGGGGAATTAATAGTCTAAGAGCAGGTAATGTGTGGTGACATTTGGGTACGAATGAAAGACTGTGGGAAGCATATTATCAGAAACTGAGTGCCAAGAACCTCTGCTTCTGTTCAAAACTTACTAAGCAAAATCAATCATTTGAGAGAGGACTCACCAAGCCACAGTATAAGTGCTATATAGAGTCATTCTGTAAGCCACCTTTAACCTTTTTCTGGCTTCCCTCTTGTCTATGGCCATGGCTACTCAATAAATTTTAGGGGAGACAAATGAAAAGGGTCACTGTTTGAGTCAGATTTTTTCACTGCTGTGATTAAAGGATCTGACTAGAACAGCTGTAAGGAGGAAAAGTTTATTTGAGGGCTTACGGATTCAGAGGTCTCAGTCCATAGAAGGCTGGCTCTATTTCTCTGGGCTTGAAATGAGGTTAACATCATGGAGGAGTGTGTGGCAGAAAGAAGCAGCTCACATCATGATGATCAAGAAGCAGAGAGAGATTCCACCCTCCAGATACAAGAGGTTGTGAGGGGAATGGAAAAAAAACAAGGAGAGAAATGAATTACAGTAGATGGGGTAGAGAGGGAAGATGGGAGGGGAGGAGAGGGGGGATAGTAGAGGATAGGAAAGGTAGCAGAATACAACAGTTACTAATAGGGCATTATGTAAAAATGTGGATGTGTAACCGATGTGATTCTGCAGTCTGTATTTGGGGTAAAAATGGGAGTTCATACCCACTTGAATCTAATGTATGAATATGATATGTCAAGAGCTTTGTAATGTTTTGAACAACCAATAAAAACAAAACAAAACAAAACAAATATACACACCAAAGCCTCACTCCAATTCCCACCTCCTCCAGCCACACTTTACCACTTTAGTTAATCCCATCATTAACTCACTGATTAGGCTGAGGCTGTAATCCAGTCATTTCTCCTCCAAAGCTTTTTGCATTGTCTCACATGTGAGCTTTTGGAGGACACCAATATAAAATGTAACAGTCACTTCAGTTGCTACAGACTCTGACACAGCCCTCTGAACTCCATTATTCTGTCTTGGAACGTTTGTTTCAGAGTGGTCTGCACTGTCTTGGCCAGTAAAGTTTTCTTACAAGTTTTGTCACTGTAATCTACCTGTTGGTCAGAGAGAGGCCATAGAGGGCTTCCTGGGGACATTCACAAATCCATCTTCATGGTTTAGACAAAATTGTGATAACATAACAAGTAGAAACAATTTGATGTGCACTCATCTTCAAGGAAATTATTTTGTGAGTCTTTATTCATGAGAATTATATGAGATAATGTGGTTTTCAAAGAATATATTTTAACTACGTGTCATGATAATGGTTTGGTATTTGTGTTTCCCCATTTTATGGCAGTTTTGGTATATCCACTTGTTGTGTGTTTTATTGATTTATTCTCATTCTTACTGTGCTGTTTATTAAATAATAGAGGATTTTTCTGTGGGTACAAATTGTTCCTGAAATCTTTTATTGCTTTAGTAACTTAAACAATATTTTTGGACATAGAGAAATGAATGTTAATAAGTTTGTAGTGTTTAATTTCATTTAATATGTTATGAGTTATTAAAGTTGCATAATTGAGCACTGACTACATCCAACATATAGCTGTTTCTTTAGTTTTTTAAGTCTTCATACAAAAGCAAAAGTCTCTTGAAGAATTTTGTGGTCCTGAAACTTTCATGAATTGAATGATCATGTTGATATGATATTATACTTTATATTTTGCTTATTGGCCTTTGCCCATTAATTTCCAGCTGACTTCCATAGCAGCGGACACATTGTTGTTAACGGTTGGAAGATACATAATACAGCAAAAAATAAGTGGTTTGTGTGCATGGCAAAAACACCTGAAGAAAAGCACGAGTGGTTTGAAGCGATTTTGAAAGAAAGAGAGCGACGAAAAGGTGAGTATATGAAGTAGTCCCTGTGATTTTTTTTTTTTTTTTTTTTTTTTTTTGTGTGTGTGTGTGAAGATTGTAACTTGGCACTAGAGCAGGTAACTGGAAAAAGTTAAGAGAATGTAGACTGACAAATAATATTCACTTTGATTTGCTGTGTGATATAAGGTCTACCCTAAAATATTTTTGAATAATTAACAATATTGTTAAATATACAAAAGGGGAACTTTTTATAAAGTTAGCAACATAATTATAGTATAGTTGACAATGTTTCACAAGACTGACAATGTTTTAGTTTCACTTATTTTCACAGTTGTTCTGTTACTGGGCACGTTGTTCTTGCTGCCTCCAAAAGCAGAACACAAAGTCTTCCTTTAACCAGACTTCATTAATGTATCATAGTGAGGGCTGGGGATGTAGCTGAGTGTTAGAGCACTTGCCTAACGTGTGAGATCATGGGTTTGAAACCCAGCATCTAAAAAAAATATGCATAGATACAGATACTTTATCTATATCTATAGATAAAAAGAAATATAGAAAGAGATATGTAGTAGTGTCACAGGATCTTTCTGTATATTTAGGATCTCTCTATATGTTTAATAGTGTAATTAAAATCCTTTGATCAAATATGTTAGCTTTCTAGTTGTAAATTAAATCCCTTGGGGTGTGTGTGTGTGTGTGTGTGTGTGTGTGTATATATATATATATATATATATATATATATATATATATATATATATATATATATATATATTTGAGATATTCTCAGCATGTCATTGAATATCAGGGAATGTAACCAGTAAAAAATTTGTTCAATTAGGAGTCCTAGGTAAAATTTGTTTCATGCTTTTAGAAAGATTTTCAAAAGATACTTGACCTGGCAATATTCACTAGTGTGAAGCTTATTGACAAGCAAACATGTGCAATTCTGTTCAGAAATAGAAATACTTGTATTTCTTTACCAATTGATTTCTTAATTGTTAGCAATCATGGCACTGCTGATTACTCTTCCTAAGATTTGGGAACAAAACTGCTCTTGGTAATGAAATTTCAAGACAAAAGAGCTTTCTTCTATCTTCAGGTGTTTCCCCTTGAATATACAAAGTTTCAACTTTAAATATTTGTAGTATACATCTGTATAAGAATTTGAAAAGCATTTTCAAATCTTATTCCTTTGATTGATCATGGATGAAGAATCTGACAGAAAAATTTAAAAGTTATAGATGCATAACTGACTCCTAAGATTTGTTGAATCTAGCATTTTGTTCAATATAGCAATTTTTTCAAGTAGAAAAGCAAATAAATTCAAAGAAGAACTGAATTTCTCATCAAGTTGAAACTTTAAAATTTTTTTTCTAGAAAAACTTTGTCTTAAGATACCCAAGATAAAATATTGAAAGCAAAAGAGTGAAAAAAATTAAAAAGCACATTTTATAAAATAGGGAAATTGTACAAAGTTAGGCTTGGATCCTGTGGTATTATTATTATTTTTTTTGGTAATTGTTAAAGGTTCCTATATTGGAAAAAATTAAATTTTAGTAGAAATTTTTATAACTTAGAAGACTAAAAATAATTGAAATATTTCTTATAACAGTCCTTCCTCTGGCCTATCTGCTGACTAAGTGTTGCTGGTTCCAACATTTTATCTTTGGCATTAGCTTCTAAATAGATTCCTTTCTTGGGTTATCTATTCCCAGTAGATTAACTTCCACTTTACACTGCCTGTTTCCCAATCTTCATGTCCAGCCTTTGTCCTCTGTCCCAGGCTCTGTACTTGTGCATTCTGTTGACCCCAGATTCCACTCAACACTCCGAGCACTGATGGACTCCTTATCGCTCAGATGTCTCTGGCCAGAAGCATCCCCATTTACTTCCTCTCATAAACCCTGGAACATCCTGATTTCTTCTCTCTCCTTTACACCTACATTTGATCAGTTGCTGTGACCTATCATGACTAACCCCCATTTATTTCTCGATTTCATTTTTCTTGCCCTAGAACCCTTATTGTTTGCAGGGTCTTGGACTTACTTAAACTTTCACAGTTTCCTCCAAATGGTCTCTGTATTAGTCAGCTTTTTGTTGCCATGACCAAAATACCCTACAAGAACAACTTGAAGAAGAGAAAAAGCTTATTTTATAGCCTTTGAGGGCAACAACCCCAATGACCTACTTCTTCCAGCCATGGCCCCTGCCTATAGTTACTACCTAGTAGTTCATTCATATTATGAATCCATCGAATGAGTTAATCCACTGATGAGGTTACAGCTGTCATAATCCAGCCTTTTCCTAAAATTCCCATCTCTGCATCTTGCTGCATTGGGGAACATGCTTTGAACACATGGTGCTTTGGGGGCGACATTCCAGATTTAAGTCATATAACATTCTTTCACTTTGTAAATCCTAACCCCCTTCAGTTTGTTCTCCACATTGTCCTCTGAGCTTTGTTTCCAAAACAACAGAACTTTCTTTCCTACTCGACACTGCCTTTTCTTTCTTGCTAGCTAAAACACAGATGTTTCCCCCTCTAATAAGTTGAAACTATAAGCACCCTCCCTAACCCACCAGCACATCTCCTGCCTTCTTGTCTAAAACCCAGGACTCTAGGGCCTCTGTGTTGCTTGACATTAGTTAGCTCTTGCAAATACTTTGTGTAGAAATACCTATTTGTAGTGGTGCTCTTAAATATGGCCCTCCTGTGAAAGATTTCTTAACGTTTTTCAGGTAGAGATGTGGTACCCTGAATATTTCTTTATTTTATCACACTTTCCCCTTCACAGGGACGCCTCTTATCTGTTGCTCTCACTCCACTGGCTAAACTGTGTTCATTTAGGATATGATTGTACAAAGGCACTCTGTGCTCTGGGAATCTTTTCCTGACTATCTACCTAGCATATCATGAGCTTCTTGAAAACTATACCCAATCTTAAGAGCTCTATATCCATACCCTCCAGCCCATGGTAGACACATAATAAATGCTTGTTTAATGAAGGCATAAGCTAATGTACGAAGAGATTTTTTCAATTACATGTCCTTTGTGTCATTTTTGATAGGTTTAAAACTAGGAATGGAGCAAGACACCTGGGTAATGATCTCTGAACAGGGTGAGAAACTTTATAAAATGATGTGCAAACAAGGAAATCTGATCAAAGACAGAAAAAGGAAATTGACTACGTTCCCTAAATGCTTCCTTGGAAGGTAGGGTTGGTAACCTGGGTGCATATACTTCTTTATGTTTACCCTCTCACATGTTAACTTTACTTATTTTTTTCCTCTTTTAAAAATATTACTTAAAGCATTTTTGAATAATTCTTTATGATCTACATTTTCTGGACCATGGCCAGATGAGGGAATGGAAAAGAGAGCCAGGATTCTGTAGATAACTTAAAGCATCCATCCCTTCAACTATGACTTCAGTAGTATCTGATCTACCAAGTTCTGAGTGTGAAGTGGAGGTTGGGGCGAGGCAGGGAGTGGTCTGAAAGCTGATGTTTGTAGGGGACAGAATGATGGGTCTGACATGGAAATGCACATAGGGCTTGAAAGTCAGAGTTGACGGTGGATTCAGATGGGGGAATACCGGAGAGCTAAAGGCAAACAGTCCAAACTCCCAATCAATCTGGAATTTAGACAGCTGGGTTCAGGGGAAAGGGGAATAGACAAAGAGTCTAAACTAGTGAGTCCTGTGAGGAGTCAGGCACCATGGATGATGTCTCATTTGTTTTCTGCAGAAAGTGCTAAGTGGAATTCTCTGGTTTAATCAGTGCAAAAGCAGTGAGAAGGGTATCTGATTCAGTTAGCTCTCCTTAGGCTAGACTCTGTGCTTGCCTCTTTCTCTGTACATAATTTCCAATAGACTGATACAGACCTGGGAGTTAAATGCCTTTTTTAAAGATGCAGAAACTATGGATCAGGGATCTTAACAAGTTCATATAGTTTCTCAATGTTGAGTCCATTAAAGTAGACTGAAACAGTACTTCAAAGCATGGACTGCTATCTTGCTTTTTCAGTTCAAATCTTGGTGCTATCACTAGCTAGTCATGGGATTTGGAAAAGTTAAGTTTCTGTTTCTTCTAGAAACACGGAGATGATTATAGTGCTTACCTGCAGTGCCCATCAGCATGTCTTTTAAACTAGCTTTGGGGACATACAGAACAACCATAGACCATATCTGTTCCCCACCCCCAACTCAGGAGTATGTAGGCCAGGAAACTCCCTTGCTACAGAGCATCCTGGACTTTCTTCTTCAAGGAGAATAGCCTCAGAGCTGCCATACAGCTGCCCTCCTGTGGCATAGCTCCTGGCTCCCATGCTCTGTTGTCATCCCTCCAGGTGATAACTCTAATGCAAAGAGCAGAACAGATGTGGATCATCTTGACATAGAAGCTCAGAACAGCAAAAGGACCGTGTCTCTTGTAACAACTCCATGGGTATAACTTCCAGTGTCTCCAAATGGATATGCCCTCTTGCAAGACAGTCACTTCATATTATGACTTTCCTTTAGAGGCATGAGATTGAACCATTAGGAGTCATTTTTACCATAGCAGTGCTGACACTGTAACTTCACCAAGTGAGCAGGTGTCTAGGGGGACAAAGTTAGAAAGTTAGCCCAGATCAAATTTGGTTTTATTGCAGGAGAAAGCATTTTGCTGACCCTTAACCCACACTATCTCATATAGATGTATTGCTGGTAATAGTTGTGATGATACGTGGAAGCATGTCTCAGCACCTGATGCACAGGACAGGCTTAGGAAATGTTAACTATGGCTTTTCTCTGAAAGCAATCCAATGCAGCCAAGTTACAGATCTCTCTTGAGTGGACCATGATCCTTTAGCAGAGTTTGTTGCAATCTTCTTGGTTCTGAGGAGGTCCCATGATAAAGCCACGCCTTAACTTTCTTTCTGACCTCCTCTCCCATTTATAAAAACAATATTCCCAATTTATATTTAAAGGGGCTCTTTCTCACCTTTGAATTTGACATTTTCAGGATCTGGTGACATTTGGATAGAGAATTACAGGTTAGCTGCATATCAACTGTTCAGCTTACTTGTCAGTCACTGATAAGCACTATCTTATCAGTGTGCCAGGAACTGTGCTGACATGCACCATCTCATTTAATAATTTGACAGCACCATCACATTGATATTCTTGAGGCTGAGAGCTAATTGACTAACCCAAGATCACAAAGCTGGTAGAAGAAACAGGATTTAAATTCAGCTTGTCCTATTGCAAAGTACATGATCTCAACCATTATAGTTTATTTTATCCTCTCATATCTTTATTTTTTCTTTTATTTCTTCTATTCCTTCCTTTTTTTTTAAATTTGTGGTCTTTCTTTTGGATGGTTCTTATTTAATAAGTGAATCGGAAGCACTTTAACAACTTTTTCTGCCTTAAAGTATATTTCTTAGACTAGACCATTCATTTTTAGAATTTCATGTCTAGATTATTTGAAGCATTTTGTGTTGCCTTTGGTTTAGTAATAAATGGAAAATAGTTTCCTGATGCTTCCTTGATCTCTGGCCTCTGTGTAACAAAAAAAAAAAATTAAAAAGTCTAAAACAAATTCATTAGTATGTCAAAGTTTAAATGTTATTTTTTAAAAAAATGCCTATGAGAATATTTTTATTTATAAAATGTCTGTGTAATTAATGTTCTTTTAAGGATAGCACATGACCATTTGCCTTTTTGTGGACAGTAGTCTTGTAATTACAGCTACACTAAGATTTTCACTTTGGGTTTATGAGAAACCTCAAGAATTTGAATAGTTTATTAAATATAGTTTAGGAGAGTCTCAATGTGTGGACATAGGTTTTCTAGAATAAAGTCCACCTTCTATGACTTGCAGGTCTTACTATCTGCTGAATGGCATTGCCAGTGTCCCTTTATACTTTGAGACTCCTTTCATAGTTGTTTCATGACTGCATGGTAAAGATAGATTTCCAGGGGAGGGAAATGAACTGTTCTACTTTTATTATTGGCTTTCTGTTGCAGTGAATTTGTGTCGTGGTTGTTGGAAATTGGAGAGATTCATAGACCAGAAGAAGGTGTTCACTTGGGACAAGCATTATTAGAAAATGGAATCATCCACCATGGTGATTATTTTTTTAAAAATTTAATTACTTATTTAACTTATATATTTACAAATTGCCTGTCTCTTAATCTCACTGATCAATTTAGTTTATAATTTTCTATGTTATAGGAAACTAACCATTTTCCTCAGCATTGTCAATACCTAATGTGTGTAGAATAGTGAGTGTGGGTTAATGGTGATGTGGGTTTATGAAACGTGGGTTTATGGTGAAACCACTGTTAACCTTAAAATGAACAGCCATACATAGGCAGGAGTTATGATATGGGTAGGTGCTGTGGGATTATGGAGTAAGAGATGGCAAGTTCTAACTGGAGTATGTTCCATTTGTTACAGTTTATTTAGGTTGTAAATTAATTACGAGTTAATACAAAATACAGTTAGAACAAACTTTAGTCTTGATCAAATTATCCCCCCAACCTCAGGCACCACTTTCTCCAATAATACATTTGAAATCAATTAATTTTGAATAAAAATTAATTTTGAAATTTTATATGCAATAATTCTTCAAGTATATAAATTATGAGAACTGAAAAGTTATTTTTAAACAATGGTATCTATAATGTGATTAATTCTTGGAGAGATATAGTACTATTTTTTTTGTTTGTTTTTAGTTTTTAGTTGTAGTTGGATATAATACCTTTATTTTAGTTAGTTTTTATGTGGTAGTGAGGATCGAACCCAGGGTCTTGAATGTGCTAGGAGAGTGTTCTACTGCTGAGCCACACCCCCAGCCCAGTACTATGTTTTCTAAATTAATAAATGAATGAATATCTATCTCTATCTATCTATCTATCTATCTATCATCTATCTATTCATCCTAGAGATTGAACCCAGGACCTCATATATGATAGGCAACATTTGTTAAAATTTGATTTTAGTGGCCAGGGCTTTTACTATTATCAGGATTTGACCAGTTGTAATGTCACATTTGGTATTCTGAATTTTTGTCATGAGAAAAATTTTTTTTAAAGTCTCTGATTACCCCAAACTGGGGGTAAAAGAACATATGAAGCAATTTCACATTAATAGAGTACTTCTATTAGATGGAAGTTATGAGGCAAATGTGGTAGATTCATTTGTATGTAGTTCCAGCTGCATTTTAGTGAAAATAGAATCCCTAAAATAAAGTTGAATGAACCATCTGGTATAAGAGAGCAAGTTAAAAAAAATTGACTGTTATTGCTATTATTCCCTTTGCAAATATTGTTGAGAATACCATCAGCAGCAATACCTTGCTAGGACGGGAGTTCTTGTTCTCAGGTAGCATATGCTTTTTCCATAGAATGCTGTTAATATTCATCTTATTTGACTCTAGAATTTATAGTAAAATTCTTATGTGAGAATTCAGAGATCCATTTGTTAAATCCTCTAGTGTGCTGAAGTTGGCTTATACAAACTCCTGAGATCTGATAATTAAATTAAAAATATTTTGCAAGCTGGTTGGTCATTAAGAACAATTATTATTAATGTCAAAATTATATAAACATTTACACAAGTTATATTATGAGCAAAGGTGATGAATTCTTGAAAGTTAAACACTTCCTAATTATTTCACTTCATTTTATTGTTACCTATATTCCTGAGGGTATTTATTATTGAAGTTATTATTTTTTATGGTGGAAATGTGCTGTAACCGGGTGACATGACACTCATAATTAACTATGTGTTAATAACTGTAAGTTGGTAACTTGAAATTGCCCAGAATGAGACTGTTTATATCACAGAAATTAGCATATGCTACAAATCATAGGTCCTCCTCCCCTCCTTTCCTCTACCTCCTTGTATCTCTCTAGTTCTCTCAGAAAATTGTTGTAAAGATTGCATTAAGCAAGATGGCCTAAACTCTTTTTTAGTTAATAAATTTTTCATGCTAGATAATTTGGGGCAGTGGATTTGAATGTGTTTTTCCAAGTCTTCAGTGTTTTTCCAAGGCAGTGGCTAAGATTGGCAGAGTGGTCCAGGGCTGGAACTATCAGGGTCACAAGCATTTGCATTACAGCTGAACCCCCTTTTAACAATGAGTTCAGCTACCACTTGTTTTATTGTGGCAAGCGACATTTGGGCCCAATGTTTCCTTGAAGTTTGGAATATCAAGAGAATAATTGATTTCAATGAATTTTAAGGGGCAAAAATGAGATTAGATGACATAGGAGAAATAAATGACCCATCTTGAAATATAGTATAGAATTTCAAAATATTTCTCTTAATTTTTAATTTTTTCATATGTGTCTTTTTCTTTATAGCTTATCCTAGGAAAAAAGATTCCAAAGGCTGTATTGTCTGTTTGGGGGGGGGGTGTGGCAACAATCTTGGTTCAATTTTATTGCTGCATGCCACAAACTTTGGTGGGCTGGGTAAAAGTGTGTGTGCGTGCCCGTATGCATGTGCACTGCGTGTGTTTACTAACTAATGTTTTAATATTCTACTGGTTTCACCAAATGTAGTTAATGAGAATTAATTCTGACAGTTTTTTGTCCTCTTCCAGTGTTTCTAGCAGAAAGCCAAAGTCTTCTATCTAAGCCTGAAAGTATTGCAGCAAATTATTTCTTTTGCAAATGTTGTATTCCCCATAATGAAAATATTTAAATATAAACCTTTGAACTTTTAAAATATAAACCTTTGAACTTATTTTAAGGTTTTACTTTCTAAAACAGTGATTTTTAAAATTTTGGTGTCTATAAAATAGCAGCCTGGAAAAGAGAAAACTTAATGGGAAAATTTAATAGGATTCTTTACTGAGGTGTAATCGACCAATAAAAGTTATATGTAATTATGATGTACAACATGATATTTTTTATATATATACACACACAGTAGGAAATGATCACCAACCTAGTTAATGAACATATCCATTCCCTCACATAGTTATTATTATTTTTTTGTGTGATGGTAGCATTTAACATCTATTCCCTAAGCAATTTTCAAGTGTATAATACATTATGTCACATTTTCTCTGTTTATCCATTGATGGACACTTAGGTTGACACATATCTTGACTGTTCTGAGTAATGCTTCAATGAACATGGGTATGCAGATACCTGTTTGCATACTGATTTCAGTTCTTTTGGATATATTTCCAGAAGTAAGATTGCAGGATCATCATGATTCTATTTTTAATTCCTGAAGGATCCTCCCTACTGTTTTCCATAGTGGCTGTACTAACTTACACTCTTACTAACAATGTACTATAGTTCCCTTTTCTGCATGTCCTCCTCTACACTGCTATTTTGTCTTTTTGATATTTGCCATCCTAAGAGATGTGAGGTGATATCATTGTGGCTTTGATGTACATCTCCCTGATGACTGGAGATGTTGAGCACCTTTTCATGCATCTGTTAGCTATCTGAATTTCTTCTTTTGAGAAGTACCTATTTAGATCCTTTTTCCTATATTTCAATGGGGTATTTGTAGTGTGGTGTTGAGTTCCTTAATATATCTTGGAATTTAGCCTACTAATCGAATATGTAGTTTGCAAATATTTTTTTTCCCATTCCATATATTGCCTTTGCATTTTGTTAATTATTTTACTTGCTGTGCAGAAGCTTTTTAGTTTGATGTAATCCCATTAATTGATTTTTGCTTTTATTGCATGCACTTTTGGTATCGAATTCATTACTTATCTTTTTACTAGTAGTTTTACAGCTTCAGGTCTTTAAATCTTAAATCCATTTTCAGTTGGTTTTGTGTATAGTGTGAAATAAGGGTCCATTTTCACTCTTCTGCTTGCAGATATACAATTTTTCTAGTACCACTTTTTAAAGAGACTTTGTTTCAGTCAGTTTTTCACTGCTGTGACCAAAATTGCCTGACCAGAACAACTTAGAGAGGAATAGTTTTGGGGGGTTCATGGTTCAGCGTTCTTAGTCCGCTGTTGGCCAGCTCTGTTGCTCTGGGCCCAAGGAGAGACAGCCCATCACGGCAGAAGGGTGTGATGGAGGGAAACTGCTTCCCTCCTGACCAGATCAGAAAGCACGAGAAAGAGGGAAGGGGCAGAGGAGAAGAACTCCTCCAGGGCATGGTCCCAGTGACCCACCTCCTTCAGCCATGCCCTACCTGCCTATAGTTAACTCCCAGTCAGCCCATTCAAACTGATCAGATTAAGTTCTCATAGTCAGGTCATTTTACCCCCAGACATTTTCTGCATCAACACCGAAGCTATGGACTGATACCTCAAATTCAAAGCATTACTCTGTCTTTTCCTGTTGTGCGTTCCTGGTAACTCTTTTGAAGATAAATTGACTATAGATATTTAGGATTCTTTCTGAGATCTTATTTCATTCTATTGATTTTTTTGTCTCTTTTTATGTCAGTGCTTTGATATTTTTTGATTACTGTAGCTTTGTAGTTTGTTTTGAGGGCAGGTAATGTGATATATCCAGCTTTGTTCTTTTTTGCTGCTCAGGGTCTTTTGTGATTCTGTAGAATTTTTTTTTTTTTTTAATGTCCATGAAATATACCCTTGGAGTTTTAAATAGGGGTTGTAGTTAAACCACAGGTTTCTTTGGGTAATGTGGAATTAAAAATAATTTTTTCTATTAATGAATACAGTGTGTCTTTGCACTTATTGGTGTCTTCAATTTCTTTCATCCATGTTTTCTAGTTTTCAGTATACAAATCTTTTCATCTCCTTCATCTTTCCAAGTATTGTGTTTGATTTTTTTGGATACTGTTATAAATATAATTGTTTTCTTAAGTTCTCTTTGGATGGTTCATTGGTAGCATATGATTCTTGATGTACTGTTGAATTTGAATTGATAGAGTTTGAGGAATTTTGTGTTTATGTTTATTGAGAATGTGGCTTATAATTTGATTTGCTTACAATGTCCTTGTCTGTTCTTGTTAAATGAGTTTGGAAGTATTCTCTTTTAGTCAGTGTTTTGGAAGAGTTTGAGAATAATTTGCATTAATTCTTTAGATATTTGTTAGAATTTGCCAGTGAAACCATCAGATCCTGGGAATAGGAGATTTTAGGAATATGACGATCTTATCCTGAGGATGGTAATGAAGGAAGATCATGCTCATTTTCTACTGAGACAAAATATTTTAAGTGACTGGTGAGAAAAGCATTTCTCAGTATAAAAACTTAAAATTTTTGAATCAGCAACATATTGAAATTATTTAATCTACTTTGGAGGTCTGAATACAAGATAAATGATCAAGATTGGCGTATGTGTGGTCTTGGCCTTATCAGAGTGTGATAAGACAGACAAATGCTAAAATTCACGTCCAAGACTGAGAATTGAGTCATAATTCTGAATATGAGTATCTGCTCTTTGAAAGTAACTCTGTGTTCAATTTTGTATTATTGTGAAGAAATGTAAAACATAGGCTTGTTTGTCTATATTCACATAAATATACTCTATATATTTATACATACATGTGTATTAACTTTTATCAAAGTTTCTCTATTTGGGAATAGGTGTTTGGAGAATGTATTTTTTTTTCTGCCACCTTTTAGATTGTCACCATTTTAATGTATTGTTCCTTTATGTTCTTAGTTACTGATAAACATCAATTCAAGCCAGAGCAGATGTTATATAGATTTCGGTATGATGATGGTACATTTTATCCAAGAAATGAGATGCAGGATGTGATTTCAAAGGTAATGAATGCTCTTTGCCACAACCCCTTCAGTAGCAGAATTCATGTTATCTATCATGCTTGGGAAAGACAAAAAACTATTGAGAGACTTAAAAATTTCTACTATCATAAAAAATTTAAAATTACATACACAAACAAGCCTCTTTATTTCTTTTTGTAATTTAAAAATTCTGTTGTTAGATCATATCTTTGTTCTCTTACCTCGTTCAAAAAAAGTGCTATTGCCTCATTCAGAAGCATGAATAGTTTTCATACTATTGAAAACTGTTTTACATGTAGCAACATGTAGTAATTGTACTTGAATAAATTCAGGAAATATAGGTATAAAAGTAAATATAATACCAGTTTTAATTTTATACTTGACGCAATGTTTATTGACATATAGTAAACACATCTTCCAGATTTATTTACTATATAGATTTACTTTCTATCTAAATTATGTCTTAAAAATTTTATACTTTAAGAAAAATAATTTCAAAAATCCTTTGTAGAGCATATCATGTATATGATAAATTCATAGCACAATTGAATCCTATTATTAATGATTTAAAATATTATTTTTGGATTTATCATAACATTGGGATGAGTTGTACACTGATTGAAATTGGTGTAATGATTGCAGGATATTGACAGTGAATTTGCTTGTTCTTTCAATAGGGCATTGACATGTCCCTTGAGGCATCTCACTTGCTTTTAATATTTCTTTATTTTTCACAGGGCGTAAGATTGTATTGTCGTCTTCATAGTCTGTTTACCCCAGTGATAAGGTGAGTCTGGTTTCTATGTTCCAGGAATCTTAAATAGAAATATTTATATTGCATGTTAGAACTTGGGTTATTTTGTCTTCTTCTGAAAGTGGAAATTTTACTTTATTTAGTATTTTAAGTAATTATTTATCTTAAAGTATCCCTCAATTTTTCTGCGACTCTATACCATGTCTTTCACTTTTTTAATTGTGACTTCCAAAGTTATTTTGCTTTTATTAAATGGTAAATTATAGACTTGAAAATGGAATAATCCACACTCAGTTAATATTAATAAATAATAGTTAACTGGGGAGAATTTGGAAATACCATAAACTCTGAATATTTACCATTGTGTTTACTTGTATTTTAACCCTTTTAATTACATTGTATAATTTATCATTATGATATATGATATATAAATAATTTTATATATATATGTGTATATATATATATATATATATATATGCTATAGATATATAGTTTATCTTATGGTAGTTCCTTCTAATAGTCTTAATAATTAAGTTTTATACTTGAAAATTTAAAATTTCTTTGAAGTTACCAAATAGGACTTTTCAATTTTATTCTCTTATGTTTTTGTTACTGAAGAGATATGACTTCTTTTTTAGGAGGAATTAGGATTAGTTTTGTTTTTGCCTTCGCCAAAGATCTAGAGTTTTATATTAAGATTACTAATAGATTACATAGTGAGGAATATTGTTGAAGCTTGGTAATATACATTAACTGATAGAACGTTAAATTTATTTTGGGTGGCTAGATGTTATTTGGAGTTTAATAGCTAAATCATATCTTCAGAACAGAAATGCGTGCTCCATTTCTGAAATGAATAAAGAAGCTTTTCATTCTTGGCTGCAGGATCCAAATGTTTTATGTGTGCAGAGTTTCTATTTTTCATTCTGATTTTCAATTCGAAGAAATTCGAGACTAAAAGAGAGAGAAGGAAAGAGAGATTGCAGAAGGCTGTGTCTTAAGTGTGTGGAGTGTCCTTTCACACTGCATAATCACACTGCATGCAGGTCCTGCAGGAGAACTCAGGATCTTATCCATTATTCTGGAAAGTGTTATTTGCACTTTTACAAATAGACTTCACAAAGTAGAAAGAAATGAAAAGAATGAATATTTATTGACTTTATTCCATGATCCTGTTATGGATACCCTTCAAATATTTTGAATAACTTAATACTAAGTACTTAATAGCAATTGGGTAATTAATTTTTTTTTCTGCTCAGTAAGTAGAAAATAGGAATGGTTTAATTCACCATGTCACCTGTGTGCATGTTGATCTTATATGTGTGAAAATACATTCTGAAAATATATTTTAACCATATGGGATTTCTTATCCAAAAGACTACATTCTCTAAGACTTGATAAGAAAGAATTGTTCTCTGGCTAGAAATGGTAATTGTTTATGAGTTGTCAAAGGAAAATTAAATGGATCAAAACCCATAATACAGAGGGAATGTATGTTCTTCATGCTTTTAATATGTATGACTTCAACTTACACAGAGAAAAAATGGGCATATTAACCATAAGTCTACACGTGTTGTATAACAGAGACTGTCCCTTTTATTTCTTATTGATGTTTATGGAAACCCAGATGAAATGGGTGGTGAGGTATCAGAAATTTGGAAGTGGATTTAAAAGATTAAAAAAGAAAAAGCTGCCGTTGATTACTGGCTGACCTAGTTTATTTATATTGAAATCTCATAAATTCAACTGTATCTGGGAGCTTTTTAATGCAAGTGGGTAAAAAGATGGAAATATTAATTGTAAATTACTGACAGAGGCTAAATAGTGAATAGAGCTAGTAATTAGTAGACACTTTAAGCTTTTGCAGTTTGCATTTTTTTTTTTTTTTTTTTTTTTTAGATTTGAAAGGACCATGATTTCCTCATTCCCTTTTGATTCAGGCCTGCAAAATGAATGAATTATAGATTTCTGCCCTTGGGCCTGATCATGAGACTTTGTTGGTATCTAACTGAACTTTGAGTGATTTTTTTTCCCCCTCAGTTCTGGGAAATCTACTGAACTGATGTGGAGAGCCTATTGGGCTGATTTTGCCCTGGAATTTTGGTGTCACCATGTCTGTGCTCTGATCAGGCAGAAGAGGTGACAGGTTCTCAGGGTGTCTACTTCAGGGCAGGCCTGCAGGGTTTTCAGGACAACAGAGCCCTGTGGACAGTCTTGTAATACAAACCCTTCCTTCTTGGAGAATACAGCAGTGGGAATAATGGGCGTTGCTTTCTTCTCCACATTTTAAGGAAATTTTTAGTAGAACCTACTGTGACTTAAAGGAAGAAGTTCTGTTTTATTTTTTCTTTATTTATGAGGTGTTATACTTCCAGCTAAATTATTACTAGATATTATAACATTAGTGGCCTATGTGTATATAAGAAGATGTTCTGCTTCAGTGTCATCATCGGTCTCTCTTCCCCTTGTATGAGATGATGAAGGATTTTTTTCAGGCATTGAACATGCTTTGCAAACATGTACATTTGTGCATAATATGGGCAATTGATTCTCATTATATTGGTAAACTTTTGTGTTGTACACAGACACCAAATGAAAAATATTTCCTTGTACTCACTCACTATTTACTCAATGTATTTGGTTTCTTTTTCCTTTGTAGAGATAAAGATTACCATTTAAGGACTTACAAATCTGTTGTCATGGCCAACAAATTGATAGACTGGTTAATTGCACAGGTAAATACACAAGTTGCTGAGTTTCATTTACTATTGCTCTATACTTTGAGCATGTGACTTAGGTATTTGTTAAAAAATTAATGTATACCTACAGATGAGGTACAGTGAAGTATCTTTTCCATGGTCATATCACTAATAGGAAGCAAAATTAGAATTTGAACATAGATATTCTGAATTCAGAATCCTTAAACTTAACTTTTATGTTGTCTTGTCTTTTAAAAGTATGATGTTCGTATCTTAAAAGTATCAGCTGAGATGGATCAAAAAACACTAAGCATAATTTGAGCATCATCAAATACTTGCTACAATTTTTTTTACTAGTTTGTCTTAAAGTATCTTTTTATTAGTCCTTGCAAACTATTCTAGTTTCCCAATGCCTTTTTCTCTATTAGATAACAATTGTGCTTTGGTAATGTGAGTTTAATATGTCTGTGTATATTTTAAGTAGCAAAGTACAGATTTTATTATTGTTATTGTTTCTCTGCTTCTCAGGGATTGGATGCTGACAGCTTGTGTTGAGAAAATGACTTGCTTCTAAGTGTAGAACAAATTAAGGCATCTAGCACATTGCCGCAAGCTGCCCGGCCCCGGGCCGGCTGAGTCCCGCTCCTGCTGCCGAGCACTGCCTGCGGCACCCCTGCTGAGCGATCCCCTGCTGAGCTATCAGTGCACGCCGGCTTGCAATCTTACAGCCCGGTTGGGCACAAAAACACAAGCCAGTCAAACTGAGACAAAGTTTTATTTAGAGAGAGGCCATGTGCGTCCCCTAACAAGTGGGTCCACACGTGTGTGTCTACCTGAGCCGGGGGGGTTTCCCCTTCCCCCGGAACACCCTCCTACCATCCTTTTCCAACCAATGGGAACTCTCCCATTACAAGAGTGACATGAGTAACCTGAGTCCTGAAATTGGGCCCAGCTGGACAGCATGAGTCCAATTACCATATGAATGTGAATTGCTGGCTGGCAGTCAATAAAATCCAAAGGTGCCTGTATCAATATTTTTGCTGTGGCTCCTAACAGCACATCATAAAAGAAATTTAAATATAATACTTATTTAGATATTTTCTCATACTAGGTCAGCTAATAAGTGAATGAAAATATTCCATTGATTAAAGAAAACGCTAAAAGAACTGATACCCTTTTAACTGAACTTCTAATCTAGGAGGGAAGATAGTGCTTATCTGAAATGTTGTTATTACACTTGGATATTTGAGTCAATTTTATGAGCAAATTTAATATTGTTTTTAAAGAAAGTCTCTGTCTTTGTTACAAGTAGATGATAACATTTGGTATTTCATCATAAAGTCTTTATTTTTGTTTCATTATTAATATTTAAACCCTATTCGTTTCATCTCTGCACATGTAATTTGAGATTTTTATTGTTTAATATTAATTTTATTTTTTTCTGTGCTGGGGATTGGACCCAGGGCTTTGAGCATGCAAAGCAAGCACTCTACCAGCTGAGCTATATCCCCAGCTGTTTAATATTATTTTTAGACTCTTTAAGACCACTTATTTTTTTAATGACACCCAAATTTTTACATTTAAATGTTAATATTTTTGATAAAACCCTAATTTGTGTATCCAGTGGTTTTGCCTCTTATAACACTGTGATCATTGCACATCACTAGAATCAATTCTTTATTCAGTATATAGAGTTAGAATTTTACATAGATTATGCTACTATCAAATTCATGCAAATGCGTAGAATATGTTGCTTAAATGAGAAAATTGAAGGAAATTCATTTGAAGCAAAAACTGGTACTGATTAAATATTTAAAGTTCTAACTTAGGAAGTCATCTATCAACTTTTTTTTTCTCTTTTACTTTCCAGTGGTACGCATTAGAATAATACAGTAAGTTACTTGAAAACTGGACCAAGTCAAACTTACATTTTTCCTTCAGTTTTTCATAGTGGTCTGTTTTGACAGTGTCTGTAGTGGTGTATATTAGAAATTGTAGAAATTGCACTGTACTTGGCTCTTAAGAAAACCTGTTCAATGATGCATGCTCTGCTAATAACTAGTACAAATTTGAGCAAGTCATTCCAGCTCTCTGGATTATAGTTTTTATAACTGATTACTATATACTGGGATAGCTGTACCTAGCATCTTTGAACTATCATTGAAGCTTTATGATTCTGATATTGTAAAACTTATCCAAGTTCAAGGATAAGACATACTTAACTCACTGATTAACTTCCAACTAAAATACTATGGGCTATCTTGGAAGAGAAATGCACACTAATGGAATGAAAAGAGAACAAGTTAAACTTTTAAAACTTACATGAAGAAGAGATTTTAATAAAATAAAGGGCTCTTTCTACTAAGATTCTCAAATGGTAAGACTTCATTTCCAGTATTGACCAGTATTGACTGGATTGATTTGGACAGCTCTGCAGAACAGAATGAACAGCTGATTTCAGTAAGGTTGTATATGTGTTGTATGGAATGTAGTCTAGATCTTGTAATTTTCTTCAATATCCTGGGTGATATCATTTTGGATGACTGACTATTGTTTTTGTCTAATTCTCTTCTTGCTTGCTGCTATGCTGCTTCTAGTATAATAGAATATAGTAAAGCATCGTATTCCATGAAGTCAGCACCTTACTGGACAAAGGCATTGGTGTACTTATAACACATTATTTCATTTGGTGCAAGTTGTGTTGTCTCTATGCATCACTCCTATTTTATGATTAAATAATGCCTTGTTTCATCAAACTCAGGCAGATTTTTGTTGTGCCTTTCTTTAATGCTCATACATCTATGTGACACCAGTAGGATTTTTAAAAGGCATAGGGAAGCCAAGACATTTCAGATCATATTTTTTACACTGTTCCATATAATATTTGTCTGGCCTGTGTAACATTTGAATAATTTATCAAATAAAACAATCAAATGTCAGTGAGTATTAAACAAGCTCTTACTGTAAACTTAACATTTAAACAAGTGCTTTCATGATTAAAATACAATAAACCAACAAAACTGGAAGCTGCCATGGTTTCTGCCTTAAGTGCTATTGGAAACTGGGCTAATTATTCCAGCATTGTCTCCCCCAGAAATCCTTGCTGGGTTCTCTGACATGGGCTCAGGGGTTTCTTCTGTATCTTAGTTCTCTGGGTATATCTGCCTGATAAGGAATATTAATTATAACTGAATAATAGTACTTACTATGTGCCACATTCTAAGTGACCAAATTCTTTAGTAGATTCAAATGACCAGAAGGCAAGGAAATATTTTTTGTTTGAATATTTTAACATTTGATCTCTAGCACTTGGCATAATATGCAGAAAAATATCTTTTGAATTGAATGCATTATAATTATCAAGGAGCTAGATTTTTGAAGGAGGTCTGATGCATAGTCCAAAATTAGAGATTACAAATGCTTTGGGAGGTTAACAGGGTTGCAGTTGTCACAGCATGAGGTGAAACTTACCCTGGGTTCTTCATACATGATGGGTAGAATTTAAATGAATGGAGGGTAAAGGAAAGGGCATTGCAAGTATGAACCATTACCTGAGTGAACACAAGGATGAAAATGACAGATAATTCAGGCCACTCAGGGGGGCTGAGCTGACTAGCGTGAGAGCTGTGGGTATTAAACTTTGTAATGTGAATCTGGAGAGGGACAGTAAAACTAGGATATGGAAAGTCTTGAAAGCATAATAAAATTTTTGATATAAATGTAAAATTTTGGAACATGAAATTCCTGTGTAGAAAAGTTGAGTTCTTCTATAATAGCATATGTTAATATCCAGAAAAAAGTTGATACTTTGTACAAGGAAAAATCAAATGTCAGATTAGGGTGTTGACAATAGAAATTAAAGAGAATCGATAAAGAAGAGAGAATAGATTTGGTTGAGGATCTAAGTTCTAAAGAATAGGCTAGGGGCAAAAAGAATGAGACAATATGTGAGAAAAAGTTTCTTAAACTGTAAAACATAAATATGAGATATATCTACAAAGATATGTGTTCATAGAGGTACATGGATCTTTATCAGTAGAATCGTGTTTTCCAAATCAAAACCATATTAAGACATTGTTTGGGCTGTTTTGTTGGGTTTAGTTGCTTGATGTGATTATTTCTTTTGGCTAGATAATGAAAGAAAATCTTGCATTTGCTGGCTTGTCTAAACACTTTGAGGTCTTACAAGTCACCAGAGATTAATAGGCTGTGTTAAGAGTGCCTCAAAAGCAAGGGCATTTGGTAGAAGAGAAGAGTGATTGGCCAAGATCATGCAAAATGGTTTTTACCTACCTATATTTAGAGTGTCATCATTTTATAGCTATTTTCCTGTTCCTTAACCATGATATAGTATCTAAGAAATAACAGGGATTATGTGTAGAGGCAACAAATATTATATACTTATATATTTCCATATTTAATAAAAATTTTACCCAGAGAATGATAAATATTTTTATTTATTGTCAAAAGAAACTGTTTTTTGTATTAAATGAGTGTTGGATGCATTCTGTCTTATGTAATGATGGATGTATATAATAACTGTTGGATGCATTCTGTCTTAGTAAACAATGCATGCAGCAATATATGAATGACTTTATCTGAATATAGTGCTAAGGGTGTCAAGTGTGATAGACACAGGACAGCTAGTGTTGATTCCAACTTACACAGCACTTTTTGGTTAACAGGGGGATTGCCGTACCAGAGAAGAGGCAATGATATTTGGCATTGGACTCTGTGACAATGGATTTATGCACCATGGTAGGGATATTTGTCTTGGAAGCTTACAGATGTATTTCATTGTTTTGGTTCTTCTTAGGACATTGGGAGTATCTCAGTACTCTAGTGACGTCCACAGGAACCAGCAAGGCTGTGTGGGTGTTGCCCTGGGTCCATGCTGAGTCACCGCATCTGCAATCCATTTCATTGCTGGTGCCATTCCTGTGTCAAATTTCTGTTATCTACCAGTTGCTATGACTTTTATTTTTCTAGACAATGCTAATTCCAGAAGAGCAATGGCTTGAGCTAGAAGTTTTGGTTTGCTCATGTACCTCTTTGAATTGGTTTCAGATTAGACTCATATTTTTAAACATTATACTGGAAAGTAGAATAATTAAATGACATATGGCTGCATATTTACTGTTATTTTTTTGGGGGGGGAATATTTTCAAAATCACTTTAGGGAATTAAATTATAGATCTCTGGGGAAAATGTTTCTTTTTGGCCATTAATGATTGATTTTTTTCTTGTTTGATGACTTGATGATTTGCTGAAAGTCATCAAACAAGAGTTTTTAAATAAAGTTCATGGATTTATCAAAACAAAATTGGATTTTTCCTCTCTATTCACACTAGGTTCTAGAATCTGTGGACTCAAAACATTTTTCTTTCAATTATTAATGTATTGTGCTTCTAACTATGTTTCATAGCCATAGCACTTGTATTCATTTGCCAGTTATTTACAGAAGGTTGTTACACCTTTATGAAGGAAATATAGCCAAAGTCCTAGCAGTTCTGAGAGCATCCTTGGTTATCACGTGTTAGTTGGGGATTTCTGTCTCTTCTCTGTGTAGACAGATCACTGTGTGGGTTGTTCAAGAGAAACACTATTCCCTGAAGAACAAACCATTTAATAGAAGAAATTATAAGATTTTAGGGAATTAAACTAGAATATCAAGTTGAAAATGCTCAAAGTTTTGATTCATTCTTCATTTTACATAAAGCATCAGGAAGCAGTAAATTCATCTAAACATTTATTGTAAAATATTGTATTACAACAGAGTAGCCATAACTGACAAGGGAAACTAGTTTGCCTTGTGCCTGGCTATATTGATGCTTTCCCCTATTCCTTTTGATGGGTTATTTGGTGAATGAAAACAGCTATAGCAGAAGCCTCATGTGAGCTTTGCAACTCTGCTTAGCTCATTTAGGCAAGATTTAATCTAAAAATGTTATTATTTCTGTTGTTCACCCTGGCTTGTGTTGCTTTTATGTCATAGTTGATACGTTGCCAGTGAGTCTTTCATTCAAAGATCAATACAGTCTCCCTATCTAATCAACTCTGTAAAAATAATAAAATGAAGTAGCAGTCTTTTTGGATTGCTTACCAAGTTGCCAAGTTATTTATGTAGATCGCCTCCTTTTAGTTTAATACAACATGGTGAAGATTTTATTACCCTCATTTTGCAGACTGAGAAAACTGAAATGTGGAATGTTTAAGTAATTTTCTCATTGTCACACCCAGAATCAGTTCCAGACCTGGACTGATCCATCACAAAACATAATTCTTTCCACTGTCTTCCCTTTAGCTCCTAGTTCTATGAATCAACTTGGCCCAAGAAGTACACTTCAAGGTACAAAGGATAAAAGAGAGAGAAATACAGAAGATTTCTCATGTAAAGCATTTTGACAGATGTCAGGATCTCATTCTGTACAAATTCTTTAGTATTTAGACTTTGTTTAAACAAGGCTAACAAAACATAAACCTTATGTCATCAGTCCATGCCAAGGATCTTAGGGGCTTTGGGGGAAAACCTTAATGGTCAGATAGAAGGGAGAAAACTGACCTTGACAGAAATGAGATTATTGGAGAACATTGCAATTTTGGGGTGGTACCGGGGATTGAATTCAGGGGGCTCAACCACTGAGCCACATCTGTAAGATCCTTGCATAGCATCTGGATAGCCATCTTAAATGACAGCCACCAATTTAAGAAAAATTTCACTTTCCCTCCCAAGGGTCTTTCTGACAAAGGCTCACCACTCCCTGACACCAACCTCACCCTTAAGGGCCACATTGGGACCCGCCCGGCTGTAATCCCTGAATGCCCCATAAAAGTCCTGAACCCCAAGCCTGTTTTTCCTCTCTCCACCTATGGAGAGATGTGCCTTTATTTGTCAACTCTGACAAATAAACATCCTGTGTATCTCTGTCTACTCTCCATCTTTTATTTCTCGATCACCTGTCTCCTAGTTCCTTGCTTTCCTTTTACATCCCCAGCCCTATTTTGTATTTTATTTAGAGACAGGGTCTCACTGAGTTGCTTAGAGCCTCACTTTTGCTGAGAATGGTGATCCTCCTGTCTCAGCCTCCTGAGCTGTGTGCTCCACCACACCTGGCTGAATATTGCTTTTAAACAGAAAAGAACTATGTGGAAACAAAGATCACATTTCACCCAGAAAGTATGTTTATGCTTGAAGTCTTAGCAGAAAAGTGACACATGGGACTTGCTCACACACGCAAGCCAACCCTTCACCTATTTGAATTTTCCATAATTGTGCAAGATATTAAAAACATGCATAAAATGTTTACTATGAGTTGAGAACACCACAGGTTTCTAAGTTTGCATTGCAGTGCATGTTAGGATTTATTAAAATCTTTTACTTAAGTTTGGATTTTAATCTGATCAATGACAGACTTGGTCAAGTAGAAAAGAAGCTAACATTGGAAAAATAATTATTTTAAAAATCCAAAATCCTTTAGGTAACAGTAATTTAGGGGAAACACTGATTTGAAATTATAGAAGGAAATAGAAAAAAAAAATCCGAGGGATATTTGTGTCATTTATCCTAGAAATATAAAGTTGAGATTGTGGGCAGATATTTTATTTACCTAATGTCTACAGGTGTGGAAAATTTGATTTTTTAATTAATTGAAACAATTTAAATCTTTCTGTTTGTGTAGTCCTGGAAAAAAGTGAATTCAAAGATGAGCCCTTACTTTTCCGTTTCTTTGCGGATGAGGAAATGGAAGGATCAAATATGAAACATCGACTTATGAAACATGATTTAAAAGTTGTGGAAAATGTTATAGCCAAGTCACTCTTGGTAAGTTAGTTAATATGTTAAGCCTTCTTGATTAGACAGTAGCAGAAGACTGCATAAATATATTTGGTAGTGATGCATATGCCTTCATTCTGTTTTAATTTTTCACCAACAATGGTATTATTTTGCATTTCAGATTAAATCTAATGATGGCAGTTATGGCTTTGGGCTAGAAGACAGAAATAAAGTTCCAATAATAAAATTGGTAGAAAAGGGGTCTAATGCTGAGGTAATGTACATTAGCATTTTTATTTAAAATTGTTGTCATGATAGACAAACATAAAAGTTTCAAACAAATTGAAATCAACCTTATAAGTATCCTTAGCAAAGACAATGTCTTTGCATGATCTTGTTTTCAGGTTCTACCAAATACCCTTGAGATTAGTGGCTGCTGAACTCCTATCTATGTATTCAGAGATATTGGGGACAGGGAGGTGGTGGTATTCCTCTGAACTTCTTGACCTCTTGGGAGGCCAAACACCTTGGCTCCTCTTAGGTCCCTGGGCCTCTCTAATCACAAATTCCAACTGGACACTTATGGAGACAGCATAGTGCCTGTACCATTTATATGTGCCTCTTCTTTTCAATCAAGGGCTATATCTTCTATTTACCTACCCCCTTTATCTTTTCTATGAATATATCTTCCATCATTCAAAGTACATGCTTTGATTTATTTTCTCATTGAATTAATGCTGATTGACAGTCTCTCATTTCACCAGGGTTTTAAACAGAGGAATCCCTAATAATTTATGTCTTCATTCAGGAATATTTATTTAGTAACTGTTATATGCTTGATAGTGTTCTCAGCTCTGGGAATACAGCAATGAATGAAACAGACAGAATCCTGTGCTCTCATGGTGCTACTTTCCAGTGCTGTGTTCCAAGTATATCAGATTGAAAGCATCCTCACCTTGATGCCTTTCTCATAAGATACTTAACAAGCAAGCATCTGAATATATCTCAATAAAGAAAGTGAGAATTAATGAAATCAAACTTTTAACTTTGAATGCATTTAAAATAGATGGTAACTTGTCTGCCATCCTCCTAGCTGCTAATGTTCAATGTCTCTGCTTTTACCAAAACACAAATTCATGCAAGATAAAGCTTTAGGTGCAGCACATTAATGTCAAACAGAGTAACTCTGGTCAACTTATATGTCATTGATGGACCCGGCCAACAATTGCAGGCAAGGAGATGTTTTTCCAGGCATTTTCAACAGATGCTTTGGACAGCCCAGCTTCATCTGCTGTGACACAAATGAATGCCCTCTCCCAGTGATACTGCTGGTTATCTGCTCCCTCACATGTATATTAGAGAAGCACTCTGAGGCAAGCATATAAAGCAGGATTTATTTAGAAAGGGGTAACATAGACTTCTCCCAGGAGGGAGAAGAGGGCCATAGCTGGTTTCTTAGTATCTCAGGAAGTGAGGGGTTTTGCCTTTTTTTATATGTCCTAGGCTTCCTGTGTTACCCTGCTCCCTTCCCCCCTTATCTCTCTCCTTCTTGCTAAGACTAGGTCCAGGAAATGCTGGGTGGGATGGCCAAAAGGTGGGAAACAGGTGGGCTGGAGGGGCCTGGGAAGAGTGATTCCGGCAGGAAGGGGACCTAGGGTGAGTTAATTAGCAACTTTTACAACTCCCTGTAGGGAAGGACAATTCCTGGGACTGGTTACCTTAGCAACAGGTTGGAGCAGGGGCAGGTTCTTGATAAGGGTGGAGGAGGGGCTCTGAAGGAATTAACATTTCAATTCCTCCATTCTCAGGATCTGACCCTTGCCAATCTGCCGGGTCTAATTCTGGCTTCTGCAAGTAGGAGACCAAAAGCAGCAGGGAGTTTATGGGTAGTAGGTTGGATAAGAAAAGCTTCTGGTTAGCTTGGAGGGGTGTTGTCTTCCTTGTCCCCTCTCAGAATCTTGCACTGTTGACACCTCTGTGATTACTGCAGCTCTCTTGCCCACTCCTCTGCTCTGCTGGAGACTCTGATGCTAATGAAACTGGCCTTGAAAATCAGTATCTGGTCCTGTTCAGTTTTATTTAAAGGACAGAATGGAGAGAAAGACAGTCCAGAGTCCACAGAGGAGGGAGTCCAGAGCTGGTGCCTGAGGGAGTGAGGGTGTCTTGACCCTTTTATAGATTCTAGAGATTTCCTTTCTTCTCAAATTCCCTCCTTCTCCCATTTTTCCTATAGGACCAAAAGCCCTGAGAGAAGCTGCCCATGGGGTATATCTCCCTATTTTCCATAGCTGCCCTGAAAAGCAGGAAGGGAAGGTGGGGTGGATACTCAGGTCCTTTTGCCAGGGTCTCAGTAATGTCAGTAATGCCCATTGAGTGTCATTGATATGTCGGTAGATATACACACACAGCAAGGATTGAAACTCTCTTAGTATAAAAAAAAAAAATTAACTTGGGGTTTGAATATAGTTTTAAAGGGTGAAATTTTAAAAGGACTTCTTTATACAATAGAAAAAGGGAGTAAGAGGAGTATAATGTCAATTCAAGGAGGAATGGATGAGAATTTCACTGAAGCTTTGTAATCAAATTCAAAACTAGGCCCTCAAAAATGATAACTGTGTTATTTTATCCATTCTGTGAATTTGCATAAAATATTACAGATGTGTTTAAAATGCCAAAGTGTGTAAGCTCTGAATTTTTCAGATTCTAGTTCTGTGAAAACAGATTTCTTATTAAGTCACTGTATAAATTTTTTTTTGTGTGTGTGTGTGTGTGTGATTTCTCTTTTAGATGGCTGGCATGGAAGTTGGGAAAAAGATTTTTGCTATTAATGGTGACCTGGTTTTTATGAGACCTTTCAATGAAGTGGATTGCTTCTTGAAATCATGCCTAAACAGCAGAAAGCCTCTAAGAGTTCTTGTGAGCACAAAGCCAAGGGAGTAAGTTGTATGATTTTTGTGGGATTTAATAAATTACACATAGATGAGTGAAATAGGAAGTTAACTAAGCAGATTTTTAGAATTAAGCATCTCATATTTTAGAACCTAACCAGCATCCTAAATACTGGTCTGTAGGCCATGGCCACCTACATTGCTTATAGTGCATGTGGCTCGGTGGTCAAGTGCCCCAGAGTTCAGTCCCCAGGAACAAAAAAAAAAAAAAAAAAAAAAAGAGAGTGAGAAAATTATGAATGAGAATTAAGACCTGCATGTGAAATTGTTGCTGAAAGCTGGAGTGGCAGGATCCAGGAGGGGTCCTGTTGTTTTCTGGGTCCTGGCCCACCTTAGAGGGCAAGGGCCAAAATGTTGGCTTCTTTTTACTTCCTTGACTTTTGTTTTCCAAGTTTTGGGTTTTAAACACTCAGCAAGCCAGTTTCACAGTCTTAAAGAGGGAGTAATAGGTTATAACTTCAATATCTATAATTTTACAGTTATCCCTTTCTTTTAATTGGGGTCAGTATTAGTACTGGAAGTCAGCATTATATGCTATTTATCCTGTAGGTAATGACTTATTATCACAAATTAACCCAGGTTGTTGCTTTTTTTAGAAGTTACAAAGTTTACAAGGAAAATACAAAATGAAATTAGTAGAGCAAAAACATATTCAGTTTGTGTAATAGCTATGAACCAAGAAAATGACTTTCATAATCTTGAACCTTTACTTATACATTATATCCCCTGTCTGAGATCACAGCCATCTTTACAACAGAAATCAATCTTTTGAAAACAGTTTTAAATGAGCTGAAGTCTAGCTTATTTTCGAGCATTCTAACATGGAGGCAGAGCCTTATCTCAGGTAAGGTGGGGCTCTTTTCAAATAGCACAGTACAACATTATATCTGAAACATGAATCAAAGAAAGGCTAAGAGAGCTTTCAGCTTCTTTTTGTGGAAAAAAGTGGCAGAATACTTCCATGTTTTACAATGTCACCTTTAAACAGATTAGGCTGTCTTTGTTATTTTCCAAAAATGCATTTAAATTTTAATTTTATTGTGAAGAGTTAAGACAAAATTGTATATGTATCTTATTAACAACAGGTTACTTTATCCACCTATAAAACGTCCAATGACATGAATAAATACCAACCAACTTTTTTTTTTAATATAAATTTGGCACTTTTGCTACACATAATTTTAGTTTGGAGAACACCAACTTGGCAAAGTGCTTTCCAAAGCTTTACATTTAAGTAACTTTAACTGACTTTAACTTTTAAAGTACAATTTATGATCCAGAGTGCATATTCTAAATATAGAATCATGTAGTTGGCAAATAGTGAATTTGAGTTCTTCTATTTGTATCCCTTTAATTTCTTTCATCTGTCTGATTGCTCTGGCAGTCTGTTTTGAATAGAAGTGGTAAAAGAGGGCATCCCTGTCTTGTCCCAGTTTTTAGGGGGAATGCTTTCAATTTTTCTCCGTTTAGAATGATGTTGGCCTTGGGCTTAGCATAGAGAGCTTTTACAATATTGAGGTGTGTTCCTGTTATCCCTAGTTTTTCTAGTGTTTTGAACTTGAAGAGGTGCTGTATTTTGTCAAATGCTTTTTCTGCATCTTTTGAGATGATCCTATGATTCTTGTATTTAAGTCTATTGATGTGATGAATAACATTTATTGATTCCCGTATGTTGAACCAACTTTGCATCCCCAGGATGTACCCCAGTTGTTCATGGTACACTATCTTTTTAATATGTTTTTGCATGCAATTTGCCAGAATTTTATTGAGAGTTTTTTTGTGTCTCTGTTCATCAGGGATATTGGTCTGAAGTTTTCTTTCCTTGATGTGTCTTTATCTGGTTTTGGTATCAGGGTGATATTAGCCTCATAGAATGAGTTTGGAAGGGTTCCCTCCTTTTCTATTTTATGGAATAATTTGAGGAGTATTGTATATGGCAACAGTAATCACAGGTCTGCATAGGTTAACAAAAAATCAAAGGAGACCCCTAAATCTCTTATACATTCAGGAAACTGTTAATGATCAGAAATAGACTTAGTCAAAACAAAAAGATACAAGACAGGTCTTCAAATGACAGCGTGGCTCTTCCATGTCAGATACAATGTATAAAAAGAGAGCACTTATTGGTTATCTTACCAGTAAACTTATATAAATTTTTATATAATACTAGACAAGGCTGAGACATATGTTAGGGTGTTACTATATTGTTATAACCTTAGTAACTGTTGTTTGTTTAACCGGTTTCAAAGTAATCAGTTATGACTTTCAAATAGGTACAAACCCCAATTCCTTTAAGACTTAGTTTCCCCAAGTAAGAAAACCCAACAAGTACAAGAAAATTATCTTGATAGATAAGAGCAGATCAGTGTTTTAGACGTTGCCTCATATCAGAACATTAACTTCGACTGAGCTAATCATAACCAATTTAATCACAAACACAAATTTTTTGAGATTTACCTTCCATAGATTTTCTGCAACTTCCTTAGACCTTCACAACTTTGCATCCTTAGTTTTGCCCTCTTTTATCTTTGACTTTAGCCCAAGAATATTACTTTACCAGAAAAAAATACTTTATCATCCAGAAACATTTCTTTTACCTTCTAATTTTCTGTACTAAAATATATTTCCATACCTATAACTTCTATTTTTGGATCTTTCTCTTAAATTCATATTCTGAAATAGTCCTTGTGAATTTTATCTGTACATTTACTTTACACAACAGATTTAATCTTGAAGAGGGTTGCAAAATCTAGCATATACAAAACCTGTGCCTTAATCTTTTTTTCTCCCAGGTTACATTCAAGGGGTTGGAGGACAGGATATTTTTGAGGCTGTTCCAGTAATCAGTATAACAATGCCATCAGCTTTAAGTGAGATCCCCACTGATTGGGGGCCTTTTCTTTATGCTAGATATTGATATGCAATGGGGGAGACCCTTTCCATTTTTTCTTTAGGCTTCCTTGAAGATCCCTTTGCAGAGGCTGCCTAAAAACACAGGTTGGCTTTAGTTTCTGTCTTTTTCTTTTCTGGGTGCAGTTATTTATTTTGCCAGCCTCCCAAGGCATTGAATCATTTTGTGCCAGTGATGGATATCTCCTGGCCAAATGGGGCATCCTGTCAGATCCTAAAGGGGAGACTGTTCCTGTCTCCAGGTCACATACTAATGGTGCTGAAACCACATCATTTGTGGCCATCAGCTAGCTCCCACTCAACAGAGACGGAAGGGGCTGGGAGGCAGGGCAGAGGCCAGGTTCTCTTTGGCCATTTTTTCTACAGCCCAGGCAGCTTTCCTCCCATTTTAGGGCTGGTGAGCTGCTTGCTCTCCTTGTAACCCAGAGGCAATGCATTTTGGCACCTTGAATGAGTTCCTGACTGTTCAGACCCCTTATCATGGAACTGCATAAATGCCTGTGCGTACAGAATCTCTTTCATAGGCTTCACCCCCGATAGACTAACATTAACTTCAGAATTGTATAATAATCCAAAAAAACCATATAAAGGTCAGATTGTGTTACAGTAAACTTTCTTTCTCATAGTCAGGCTTATCCTTATAGGTAGCCTATGCAGCCATGATCTCTGTGCACTAGAAACCCCACTAAGATCAATGCAGTGTGCCCCATGTCTTTCTTAGAGGGCCAGTAACAGACAAAACAAACAAACACACAAAACCCAAAAAATAGATAAGAGAGGATCCCAAAACCAGGGGAACCTTTAAAACACAGACCTGCATCTACAAATTTCTTCCACTTAACTTTACCTTTGACAGACCAACTCCAATTGCAAGATTGTACAATAATCCAGAAAGCTATTCAAAAGCCAGATCGTTACAATAAAACATTATCTCGGACAAACCTTTAACTTACTTTATCTTTGACAGACCAGCTCCAATTGCAAGATTGTACAAAAAAACAAACAGAGAGAGACAACAGAGAGGAGCCCCCAAACCAAGTCCAACAAATAGGAACCTTTAAATTGGCCAGCCTAGATCTTTCCCAAGAGACTACCTGTACAATCAATGCGGTATTGGCCATGTCTTAAAAGGGACAGTAACTAATAGAAACAAAACAGAAACACAGACAGACAACCAGAGGGGATTCCCGAACCATGGCTGATCAGAGGGGATCCTTTAAAACAGACCAGACAGGAAAATCCTTCAAGTTCCCAACTCCCGCTCTGACTTTTATACCAGTGGTACTACAGATGTCCCCACGAAGAGGGACAAGATGGTTTCACAAAGGGAAACCAACTATGTAGAACCAAGGGTTTCGGTGCGGGTAAAGGGGATGGAACTTACCGAACAGTCAAGGTATGGCACCTTTACTGCATCCTTTTTTCTCAACTAGACCAAGATGGAGCAATCCATAGAGTTGAGGGAAGGAAGGCAGGGGTTCCCTGAAGCAAAAAGTGCTTCAGTAGCTGCTGGGGACAGTCCCTCAGTCCCTTCCTTTACTCACAGGAATACCTCTTCTGGTTCGACCAGAGGTACACCCACTCACCTGTCTCCTAACTTCATAGCAGTCAGCTCTCAGAAAGTTTGCCTTACATCCTCAGCTTGGAAGTGGGGTTCCTTGGAGAGCCAGGCCTGCCCAAGAAAGCTGGAGTGGGGGGCTGCTCTTGGGTCCCACCTGGGGTGCCAATTTGTTGCTGAAAGCTCAGTCCTTGTGAGGCCGCCAATCCAATAATGAGGACGTGGTTTATTGGAAACCACGGGGGGGAAAAAGAAGTTTATTGCTTTGCCAGCAAAAGAGAAACACAGTGGACTCCTGTTCCAGAGGCTGTGATTCTGCCCATCAGCAGGAACTGGGGGCCTTTAAAGAGGTGACTCAAAGGCTACATTTCACGTGTTCTGAGTTAGAGTTTTAATTCACATGTTAATTTGGGAGGTAGTCATTTCTGAGATATTCTGGTACCATCCCCAAAGTCTGGATTACTTCATTCCTATGGTGGGTGTGTACTCAAGGACAGATAACTCTGTGGAGCATGGGGAA